GACTTGTCGTCTCAGAAGACTTAACCTTCAGATGGGCAAAAGTTTCATTTAAGGCGACTCCAATGGTTACAGCCCTTTTGTAAGGGACCGCAAGCCAAAGTCCCTAATAAAAGGGCAATGCTTGGTTTTCATGTCTATGTCACCCCTTTTGAAAGATCGTAAGTCAAACTCCCCAACGAAAGGTATAATAGACGGCAATTTTCGATATACATGTAATAGCGACAAGTAGCATTATTATATGGCTTTTAATTTCCTTRAATCAGTTTTGTTTTTGTGCGTCGTCCTTTCAAATGATTTCCAAAGTCAAATAACCAAAAACATTTTGAGAATAGATCAACAATGTTCTAGAACATGGTAGTCTTTTTTAAAACTCACTTTTTTATGTCACTCATGCCGTATAAATTTCTTTAGAATCCTATTAAACCTATTCCTATCTATGACTTGTAGTCTCAGAAGTCTTATCTTCAAAAGTTTTAATTCGTAGGGCCCATGCATTGATTGAAGAGTCCCTTTTGTAAGGGATYGCAGGCCAAAGTCYCTAATAAAAGGACAATGCTTGGTCAACCAACACTAAAATTACAAGTGAAATGTTCGAAGAACTACAATGTTCTTTAGAAATGACCACAGTATTAATTGTTTATCGGAAATTBTGTTTAAGTTTGGTTTCAAAGTTTGAATCCYWGTGGCCATCGAATGATGTTGTTGTTTTAGAATTCTAAATCTGCAATTATCTGCAAAAGTGTTTGTTTCGTAAGGCCTAACATTAGGGTTTCATGATATATTGCCCTTTTATTAGGGTTGTTTATGATCCCTGCATTGATTGAAGAGCCCAAGGTCACCCCTTTTGAAAGGGATCGTAAGTCAAATCCCCCAACGAAAGGCCGCTAAACCGCGATCTCAGGTTTTTATTGCAGGTTTTGAGTGCCATTGGGGTATTTGTCAGTTCCGGTTATTTGCCTTAAAAAAATCCGAATTTTAAAAATTTACCTGAAATTATATAGTTAAATTTGATGTTTT